GCAGCTGCTGCTGCTGCTGCCTATAGGGCCTGAGAGAGTCGCAAGAAGGTGGTAGTGGTCATCGTGGGCCCCTGAGCCGCAGACGAAGAGACACCGTTGCTGCTGCCACAGCTGCAGCAAAGCCCTGTCTTGGCAAGTCAGCTTTTGAGTCCTGCTGCTGCTGCTGCTGCTGCTGCTGCTGCGGTGCGTCGAGTCGCTGCTGCAGCGCTTGCTTTGGTTCGGCACCTGAACCTCATCAACGCATTTGGGGCAGAGACCCAACTCACACAGCACACTGCTGCTGCTGCTGCTGCTGCTGCTGCTGCTATCGCTGCCGTCTTGCTGCTGCTGCCGCCAGCTCAGGCGACGCGCAGCAGGAGCAGCAGCAGGAGCAGCAGCAGGAGCAGGAGCAGCAGCGCGGCTGTGGGGTCTCACCCCCCAAAAATAAACCCCAGGAATAATTATAAGGGGCCTCTCTCCCCTTGCCACGAGTGCCTGGCGCAGCCGTTCCACCTGTCAGCAGCAGCAGCAGCAGCAGCAGCAGCAGCAGCAGCAGCTGTAGCGACGCGGCTAGAAGTAGCAGTAAAGCAGCAACTGCAATTTCAGCTTCACATGCACGGCCGGCTGGAGCAGCAGCGACAGCAACAGTAGCGAGCTCAGCAGCAGCAGCAGCAGCAGCAAAAGACGTTTGCAGCAGCAGCAGCAGCAGCAAAAAGCGCTCGCAGAAGCAGCAACAGCACACCTACAGCGACGCAGGCAAGCCCTCCTTGCCGGGCGTAACGACAGCTCAACTTAGGGTTTAGGGTTTAGGGTTTAGGGTTTACTTGAGAGTAGGAGAATTTTCCAGTGGCTTTGTTTTGTCTATTGTACGCAATATTTGCTGCATCTAGAATGACTGTGAATCCCCCCGTTTGCTGCTGTTGCTGCCGCTGCTGCTGTTGCTGCTGTTGCTGTTCTTGCTGCTGCTGCTGCTGCCCTAGCTGCTGCTGGGCTTGTTGCTGCTGCTCTTGCTGCTGCTGCTGCTTCTGCTGCTGCCTCTGCTGCTTCTGCTGCTGCTGCTGCAGCAGCAGCTCGAAGTGCAGCAGGCGACGCAGCTGCCGCTGGCCACTGGAAGCAGCAAGACGCAGCACCCCAAGCCGCAGCAGCCGCCTCTCCCGCAGGCCCAGCCCCACGCAGCCAAGTTTGCTGCTGCAGTGCATGCAGCTTCTTGCTGCAGCAGCAGCTGCTGCTGCTGCAGCAGGGGCTGCCGCTGCGGGTGCCGCAGGGGC